TGGAAGTGCCCTTTTTTATGCAGCTTGGAGGTTGAATCCAGGAAATAGTACCTGCCCTATAACTTGTTATGCACCACAGCCTCCCCAACTTGCCTTACTTCCTCCAAAGGAGGACTAAGCTGAGGTCACCTGGAACCATCCTTCCAAAAAGCTCAACTTCTCTGGCAAGTTTGGGAAAACCTTGGTTTCCTTTGTTTCTCCTGTCACTCTGCAGCAGGTGACTGAAAAGTATCGAGTGCCCTCTCAAACAAGGCCAGCTCCCCTCAACTCTTTGTTCAACAAAGGTAGGTAGCCACACCTTCCAAGATGGCAGTGATGCTGGCTAGAAGGAGAAACTGCCCACAACAACCAAATCAGTATTGCCCCTTAATCAGATGGGGAAAGCTCTAGACAACTGTCGCCACATAGGCAGCTTAGCATTTGCCAACTACCTCAAACATGGAACATTTCTCTTACCCAAGATAGTGCTGGCTCTGCATCCCAAATGTCAGATTGTATTTGTGGGGTGTTTCTAGAAACCTCCAAGTCAGAGGGCCCAGGAGCTTTGGAGCTTGTAAAGCAATCTCATTTTCTATGGAGAACTTTAAACCCAAGAAAGCTGGCAATTTGAAGACTAGGTTTTAAGTCAAAAAACTAAACCCTCCCCACTTACATTTTCTGGAGGCTCTAAAGTTTACGGAAGGGAAACATCTTTTTAAGATTTAAGATTTTTAAGTACTAAAAAGGAAGTTTAAAAAGAATCAAGAACAAGTGGCTCAGGGCAGGGAGAGGTGTGCCTGGGAAAATGGCAGTTGTCACTCCTTGCATCCTTAGAAGTTGGGAAAGGAACATGGTACATTCACCAAGGCTGCTGCTCTTTTTTTTTTTTTTTTTTTTTTTTTTTTGAGACGGAGTCTCGCTCTGCCGCCCAGGCTGGAGTGCAGTGGCCGGATCTCAGCTCACTGCAAGCTCCGCCTCCCGGGTTCACGCCATTCTCCTGCCTCAGCCTCCCGAGTAGCTGGGATTACAGGCGCCCGCCACCTCGCCCGGCTAGTTTTTTGTATTTTTTTTTTAGTAGAGACGGGGTTTCACCGTGTCAGCCAGGATGGTCTCGATCTCCTGACCTCGTGATCCGCCCGTCTTGGCCTCCCAAAGTGCTGGGATTACAGGCTTGAGCCACCGCGCCCGGCCGGCTGCTGCTGCTCTTTCCTGTACAGCAGTTCACAGGAGGCCTGGGCTGGACACTCAATGGCCTCTTCTTGGCTTTTCCAAATGGGATCAACCATTTGCTTTCAGAGTACAATGTTGGGCAATCAGGCTCCTCGGCTCTGGAAAAAACCCCTCTACCAATAACAACTTACAGAGGACGTTAAGAACAAACATACAAACAAACCACCACTCAATCAAAGAAAACTATTAAGCTGCTGTCTTGGCACTAAGGTATTCATATAGTTTTACATCTGCTAAGAGGCAGATTACACTGTGTTTCTGATCAGATAAAGATCCATAAATAATTTAATTTAATGAAAAGTGACTGCTCATCACAAAAATGTCTGCCTCTGCCTTACCCAGACCAGGAGGAGACACAGAATGAGCAAAGCTGGTTGGTGACTGTATTATACATTCAGTCAGAGGACAAAGGCCTTAAAGGCTTACTTAGTCCTAATCATTGAGCTTTTCTCCTTACATTTACTAAGTCAAATATGGCAACAACGAAGGAATTGCTTCATGAATAGTAACCCTGACAATACGATCCCATCTCATTTCCCTATTTCTAAGCCCATCTGAGAAATTGGTCTGGAAATATTCAGAGGGGCCTGAATATCAACCACTTATACCAGTCTTGGCTAAAAAAGGTTCTAGTGCCAGGGAAACACTTAAAAAAGGCTTTTGTGGGATGAAGAAAACTAAGAAAAAGCCAGTTTTCATCTAAGTGCATGCACAATGTAAAAGAAAATGGGCTGGGCGAGGTGGCCTGTAATCCCAGCACTTTGGGAGGTCCAGGTGGGTGGACTGCTTGAGTTCAGGAGTGTGAGGCTGCAGTGAGCCATGTCTGCGCCACTGCACTGTAGCCTGGGCAACAAAGTGAGACCCTGTCTCAAAAAAAAAAAAAAAAGGAAAGAGAGAAAAAGAGAAAGAGAAGGAAGGAAAGAAACAAAAGGGAAAGTGGGGAGGAGGGAGGCAGGCAGGCAGGCAGCCAAAGGGAGGGAAAGGAAGAGAAAGGAAAGGAAGAAAAGGAAAAATAAAGAAGGGACCAGCTGGGTGTGGTGGCTCACGCTTGTAATCCCAGCACTTTGGGAGGCCGAGGTGGGTGGATCATGAGGTCAGGAGATCGAGACCATCCTGGCTAACACGGCAAAACCCCATCTCTACTAAAAATATTTAAAAATTAGCTGGGTGTGGTGGTGGGTGCCTGTAGTCCCAGCTACCGGGGAGACTGAGGCAGGAGAATGGCGTCAACTTGGGAGGCGGAGCTCGCAGTGACCCGAGATTACGCCACTGCACTCCAGCCTGGGCGACAAGAGCGAAACTCAGTCTCAAAAAAAAAAAAAAAAAAAAAAGACCAGCTCCAGGAGTGCCCCAAAGGAAGTCTATTTCCTCTTGTTGGATGTATAGTGCAAACAGTTTGCTACCTTCAGTTATTTTCATATTAAAATTCTGCTTTCTTGGCCAGGCGCGGTGACTCATGCCTGTAATCCCAGCACTTCGGGAGGCCAAGGTGGGCAGATCACCTGAGGTCAGGAGTTCAAGACCAGCCTAGCCAACATAGTGAAACCCTGTCTCTACTAAAAACAAAAAATTAGCCAGGCGTGGTGGCATGCGCCTATAATCTCAGCTACTCAAGAAGCTGAGGCAGGAAAATCACTTGAACTTGGGAGGTGGAGGTTACAGTGAGCCAAGATCGCGCCACTACACTCCAACCTGGGTGACAGTGAGACTTTGTCTCCAAACAACAAAAAACAAACCTCCTTTCTCCTGCCTAACATCAACCATCACTTGAAATAGTGTTTCATAAAGGGAAAATGAGGAAATCAAAAGGAGATGGGATTCCTAATGCTAGTGACAGTTTTCTGTAGGGGTAATAAAAATGCTTACTCCTGATTTGGAAGGAAGGAAAGATGTGTTTATAATCCTGACTCAGGAATGGGAAAAGAGGTGTTTTTATTTTTTATTTGAGACTGAGTTTCGCTCTTGTTGTCCAGGCTGGAGTGCAATGGCGTGATCTTGGTTCACCACAACCTCCGCCTCCTGGATTCAAGCAATTCTCCTGCCTTGGCCTCCCGAGTAGCTGGGACTACAGACATGCGTCGCCATGCACCGCTAATTTTGTATTTTTAGTAGAGGCGGGGTTTCTCCATGTTGGTCAGGCTGGTCTTGAATTCCTGACCTCAGGTGATCCACCCACCTTGGCCTCCCAAAATGTTGGTATTAGAGGCGTGAGCCGCCAGGCCCAGCCGAGAGTTTTTCTCTTAAAAACTTACCCTGGGTAGTTAAGGGGTGCCACACAGCACACAGAAACAAAGTCAGAGTTTCACCTTAATTACAGACAAGGGACAGTTTATAGGCATTCCAGCCATTATTTAGAAATAATCCATTTCTCCTGACAAGCTACCCAGGTCTCAAAATAACCTGCTGAAGCAAAGAGGAATGATTCAGAAAGCAGAGTATCTTAGCAGTTGGAAGTGAAAAAAGAATGCCTCTATTGCTATGTTAGCGTAGAGAAAGGGTCTCTCTCTGACAACTACCTTTTCCTTCTCTCCAGGGACCTTCCTAACTTCTTCCTCCTCACCCCTACAGCCCTCCTTCCAAGTCTTTGTACTAGTCAAAAGTGCATAAATCTGCAGGACAATGCTACCTTTGACCACTGACTGGCCAATAGCAAAGCATGTAAGTATCTGAAGTGACTTTTTACCAAAAGACACTGCCCCAGCTTTAACCTGACAAAGTACTTTTGGCTATTAAGCAGCAAACAAAAGGAAATCATACACTTGATGTTCTCCTGTAACTTTTCCAAGATAATCAAGGTTTCTATAGACTGGCCTTTACATATGACAAAGCCATAGACACTTCTGTGATGAGCAATGTGGTCCCAGATGAAAACCACCCTGAGGGACTTTTTTTTTGGTGCGTGGGAAAAGTGGCTTCCCTCACTGGGCTTTCATTCTGGCCAGGTACATATACACAGACTGGACCAAAGAAGCTTCATACTCAAATTGGGCAAGACTAAAACGCATTCAAGGGCCTAATGTTGTTTGTGACCATCCAAACCCCTTCATTTGGCACCTGCACACCTGGAGGATGGCTTTTATTTGGCACTTAAAAATACTTAAGAACATTCTTGTGAAAATATCCATATTATGATCTAATAAATGGTAATAAGATGGATGCTAAGATGACAGGCAAATATACAATGAGCTTTCAGGATCTGTGCAACTGACCCATGGTCAACAGTATATAGCTAATAGCAAGCCAATAATTGATGGAAGGCTGGGTATGGTGGCTCATGTCTGTAGTCCCAGCACTTTGGGAGGCTGAGACAAGAGGATCGCTTGAGCCCAGGAGTTCAGGACCAGCTTGGGCAACATAGTGAGACTCCTGTCTCTAGAAAATTAGCCAGGTGTGGTGGCATGTGCCATAAGTCCCAGCTACTTAGGAGGCTGAGGCAAGGGGATTGTTTGAGCCTGGAAGGTTGAGGCTACAGTGAGCTGTGTTGTCATGACTCTGACTGCACTCCAGCTCAGGCAAGAGAATGAGACCCTGTCTCTCTCTTAAAAAAAAAAAAAAAAAAATGAATTCCCACTTGCCAATAATACTGAGAATACAGGGTGATTTTAGGTTTAAGCTAAATTCTAACTCCTTTCCCCACGACTGTTAACAGTTAAGCCTTTTCTGCAAAGTCAAGGATACTAATAAGCATCCTTGAAATGCTTATAAGAGAACTGTAAGAGGTTTTGGGTTTTATCACACAAGTTCCAAGGTGGAGGAGCAGTGACAGTGAGAGATAAGACAAGGTGAACAAGTTTAAAACCAAAAGCAGTGGACATTTATTCCTTAATTTTTGTGCAAGAGTGTAAAGATGCATTTGAAAGAACCTGATGGCTAGAGCATTAGCCATGGCTTTCAGGTTGGCCTAGTTTACAATCAGGAAAAGAAGGGGAAAAAAGTTAACTTGCCTAGTTCACATGAATGATGTTTCTGGCAAACACAGTCGTTTACAAGTTTCAAGCTATATTTTACTAGAGTCAAGGGAAGACTTCAAAAAGCCACATACAGTACAATTTAAAATTGGATGAACATCCTGCAAATGTTAGTGCAAAGTAATTATGTAGACTCTCCAAACAAGATTGTGCTCTTGTTTCCCAGGTTTGGTCAATGTTGCTCTTTTATGATTACAATCACAGAGGCTTAACTTACCAAATAGCAATGCCTCTGTGTTTTATGTCCTGTGTACCAAGGGAATGTCACAAGGTTTTGATGAAATGCAGCTTAGTTTCATTAATAAAGCAAATTTCTTATTGAATTTAACAATCAGGTTCCTGGAATGCTGCATGTGTTAAGTTTCATGGAAATGCTCTTAAGCTTATGCCTCTATCTTGTTCAACAAAATCACTCTTAAGATATCCTTTTTACTATGTAACTGGAATTGTTTCATGATCTTGAAATGCAACCAGTATAAATGAACATTTCAGAAGTGGGAGAAAATCCACCACTAATCTCAGCTAGACAAACTTCTTAAAAATCAAAAAGCCTATTCACACAAAATTATATGTAATGACTGTAGTAATCAGTTTATTACACAGATTAATCATTCTTGAACGTACAAGCTCCAGAGGAGCAACTGGGTCTTTAAATATACACAAGTATTTCCATCAAATGAATTTTCACCCTTACATCCAAATAGACCTAAGCGGTTAAAAACATAAGAAAAATAAGAGCTATTAGCTATGTATTAACTGAGAAACCACATACAAACCAAAGAATATGGAAGAAAGAAGGGATGAAAGGCCAAAGGTTGAAGGGGTAGGGAAATGTAAAAGAGTTGGGAACAAAGCCCATCACACTTGATGTACTAATAGCTCCAATCCATTTAAATGTTGACCAGTTAAACTTAGACCTTAAAATGCAGGATGTGGGTAGAGTTTAATCTGGTTGGTCATAACTTTCACCTAAGACGTAGCTCCTTCGGAATAAAATGAATACAGACACAGCTTCATGTTCTTCACCTTGCTTTTCATAACTGTTTTGAGTTTAAATGGATTCCACTTAAAAATAATCTCCTACAGGTGAGTGGAGCCTTTTCTTTCCCATCCAAGCTCACACCATACCCACCACCCCCCTCACACCTTGCTGTTATCCAAATTTAAGTCAGTAAGAAAAGCTTTTAGTCTCACACCTAAGTAATGCCTGTAGAACTGGCTTGTCACACACACACTTCTCTGCTAGGAGGCAATGTTGGTACAGAAGTACAGTATTTCTAGTTTGTTGTTCCAAGTATGTACAACACGCAGCACTGCTGTATCAGGTAAACATGTGCACAGGGGAAGATGAGGCGTGGGCTCATAGAAAGCAGTCAAATGGAAATCAAAAGGACTTTCTCTTTCAGAGTTCCCCTATCTTTATTTGTAGAGGTTATCCAATAATTTCTTTAATTACATCGCATACTTCTGAGTCCATTCCCGAGCTATTCTGTTGTACCTGTACACACAAAGAGAAGCTTGGCTTAACACAGGTGTGGAGTCAGTAAGCAACAGATTCCATTCATTATCCCATCAAGTAACTTGAAGAGAGTAACTCATAGGACATTCAAGGAAAGGCCCCTTTCTATCCCAAATTTCTGATAAGCATTAATTCAATGATAATGGGAAGGATGTGTAAAATGTGAAAGTCTCCTTTAATTGCGACTTATAGAGGGTTCTGATTAAATTTTAGTATTTGTTGGCATATACCTTATTCTATACTTGATTGGCCTATTTCTACAGAAGACATCAACTCAATTCATTTATTTAAAGTACTTGAAACTATATGATTCTACATTATATAGTTCTTGAACTCATATACTAATAATGATTAAACTGACATAAGGCTGGGTGCGGTGGCTCAGACCTGTAATCCCAGCACTTTGGGAGGCTGAGTCGGGTGGATCATTTGAGCCCAGGAGTTTGAGACCAGTCTGGGCAACATGATAAAACCTTGTCTCTACAAAAAATACAAAAATTAGCAGCGTGTGGTGGCGCATGCCTGTAGTCCAAGCTACTCAGGAGGCTGAGGTGGGAAGATCGCTTGAGCTCAGGAGGCAGAGGTTGAAGTGAGCTGATATTGCAACACTGTACTACAGCCTGGGTGACAGAGTGAGGCTCTGTCTCAAAAAAAAAGGGGGGAAAAAAACCCAACTTTCCTTTCATATCAATAAAACTGGTTCTGGTAGAACTTATTTCAACAATTCGGTTGACAAAATGAATGGGTTTATTGCTTCAGAAGAATGTTTGAATAAAGTAAGCAGAGCAAATGGTTCTATAATTCTCCTATTAAAAAAGGGATGCTAGGCCGGGTACGGCGGCTCACGCCTGTTAATCCCAGCACTTTGGGAGGCTGAGGCAGGCGGATTACCTGAGGTCAAGAGTTTGAGACAGGCCTGGCCAACATGGTGAAATCCTGTCTCTACTAAAAATACAAAAAAAATTAGCTGGGCGTGGTGATGTTCACCTGTAATCCCAGTTACTCGGGAGGCTGAGGCAGCAGAATCATTTGAACCTGGGAGGTGGAGGCTGCAGTGAGCCAAGATCGTGACATTGCACTCCAGACTGGCTGACACAGCCAGACTTCAGCTCAAAAAAAAAAAAAAAAAAAAAAAAAAGATGCTAGAAAAAAAAGAAAGATAAGGTCAGGTGTGGTAGCTCATGCCTGTAATCCTGGCACCTTGGGAGGCCAAGGCAGGAAGACTGCTTGAGGTCAGGAGTTCAAGACCAGCCTGGGCAACACATCAAGACCTAATCTCTATTAAATTTTAAAAAAGAAAAAAAGGGATGCTGAGCCTGGGCAACATAGGGATACTCCATTGATACAGAAAATTTAAAAATTAGCTGGTGACCGGGTGTCATGGCTCACACCTGTAATCCCAGCACTTTGGGAGGCTGGGGCGGCTGGATAACTTGAGGTCAGGAGTTCCAGACTAGCCTGGCCAACATGGCAAAATCCTGTCTCTACTGAAAACACAAAATTTAGCCAAGAATGGTAGTGTGTGCCTGTAATCCCAGCTACTCAGGAGGCTAAAGCATGAGAATCACTTGAGCCTGGGAGGCAAAGGTTGCAGTAAGCCAAGAATGCACCACTGCACTCCACCTGGGCAATGGAGAAAGACTCGGTCTCAAAAAAAAAAATTAGCTGGATGTGATGGCATGTGCCTGTGGTCCCAGCTACTTGGGAAGCTCAGATTGGAGGACTACTTGAGCCTGGGAGGTTGAGGTTACAGTGAGCTGTGATTGTGCCACTGCATTCCAGTCTGGGCAACAGAGCAAGACCCTGACTCAAAAACAAAGCGGGGTGGGGATGGGTATGCTGGCCTCGCATGGTGGCTCATGCCTATAACAGCAGCACTTTGGGAGGCTGAGGTGGGAGGACTGCTTGAGGCCAGGAATTAGAGACCAGCCTGTGCAACACAGTGAGATCCTGTCTCTACAAACAAATAAAACAAATTAGCCAGGTGTAGTGGCGTGTACTAGCAGTCCTAACTACTGGGTAGGCTGGGGTGGGAGGATCACTTGAGCCCATGAGTTTGACACTGCAGTGAGCCACGATTGTGCCACTGTACTCCAGTCTGGGCAGAAGAGCAAGACCCTGTCTCTGAAAAAAAAAAAAGTGGGGGGTTAGAGGGTGGAGGCAGTGCGGTTTAGGAAAGTTCTGTTCAACAGTGTTCAACATTACTCCATGCTGACTTGGGAAATGACTTCTGGTAAGCATTCAGGCCCACAATTCTAAATATTGGACAAAACAGTTCTCTAATCAAAAAAATTTGTGAATAAATTCACAAATAGGAAAAAGCAAGAACCAACTGTTAGAATACCCCATTCCCAGTGTTACCTCCAATAAAAACAAAAAAGTATCTATGCCTCTCTAATCCAGTAGAATTCAAGTAATTCTTAAATTCTTTCTATTTTAACTTTAATTTTTTTTTTTTTTTTTTGTAACAGGAATCTTGCTCTGTCGCCCAGGCAGGAGTGCAGTGGCACAATTTCAGCTCACTGCAATCTCCACGTCCTGAGTTTAAGCAATTCTCCTGCCTCAGCCTCCCGAGTAGCTGGGATTACAGGTGCCCGCCATCACGCCTGGCTAATTTTTGTAGTTTTAGTAGAGATGGGGTTTCAGCCTGCTGGCCAGGCTGGTCTCAAACCCCTGACCTTGTGATCCGCCCACCCCGGCCTCCCAAAGTGCCAGGGTTACAGGCATGAGCCACCGCGCCCAGCCCTAAAAAAAAACTATTCACCCTCTCCTATCTACTTCCTCTTATAACTTCACTGAATAGTACATAAAACAACAGATGTTATTAGTGCTGGGCATGGTGGTATATGCTTATAATCCTAGCTACTCCAGAGGCTGAGGTAGGAGGACTACTTGAGCCCACGAGTTTGAGACCAACCTAGGCAACACAGCAAGACTCCATCTCAAAAGAAAAGAAGAAAAGAATAAATGCTACTAGAATACTTTTAGCTACTATCTCTTTTGATATCCTGACCACTGTTCAGTAATTCATAGTACAACTCTAAAACACCCAAATTCTACAATCAAGTTTTGTTTTTAAAAGAAATTTGGGGCTTTCATGCCTAATGGCATTTATTTACTTTCTTCCTTTAGATTATGTCAAATGGTAAAAAATCAATTCTCTTTTCCCATTAATTCACAAATACCTATAGCAGGCAAATGGGCACTTGATGAAAAATGCTTTATATATCAAAAGCCAAGCATAAGACATTAAGCTGTTGAAAAATATACCATAGGAAAATTTTTGTATGGGCATGGTGGCTCACACCTGTAATTCCAGCACTTTGGGAGGCCTAGGCAGGAAGATCATTTGAGGTCAGGAGTTCGAAACCAGCCTGGCCAACATGGTGAAAGTCTCTATTAAAACTACAAAAAAAATGAGCCTGGTGTGGTGGCCTGCACCTGTAATCCCATCTACTCGGGAGGCTGAGGCATGAGAATCATTTGAACCCAGGAGGCAGAGGTTGCAGTGAGCCAAGACTGCACCACTGCACTCCAGCCTGGGTGACAGAGTGAGACCCTGTTTCAAAAAAAAAAGTTTTTGCAGACAAGAGGAGTCACATGAAACAATCAGGGATAAGACTGGCATCATCTACTTATAATACTCCTCAATGCATATATTCTTTTCTAGCCCCAGGAGAGTATATTAGGACTTCACTTTAAATATCTGGCCCATATTCAGCCCTTAAACAAGAAAGATTTGTGACAAACATCTCCATCCCACCACAGATAACTTTCCATCTTGAGGCCATACTTACTTTTCTCTATCTGTTTTGTAGATCCGAGCAATCTCAGGCACTAAAGGATCATCTGGATTGGGATCACACAACAGAGAACAGATGGATAAGAGTACTAGAATGAAAAAAATCGTATAAATTAGTAGAGGATAAAAGCAAAGGGTTGAGAGAAACATGAGATGCCAAAACAGGAGAAAATTCTAAGAATTTATATTGTAATGCCTAGCAGCTTTGTAAGTTTTACTTAACTTTATATTAACAGTAACCAACAAGGATATATTTTTTCTTTCTTTTATAGCAGAGTTGGGGTTTTACCATGTTGGCCAGGCTGGTCTCGAACTCCTGACCTCAGGTGATCCACCCACCTCGGCCTCCCAAAGTCCTGGGATTACAGGCGTGAGCCACAGTACCTGGCCTAATTTTTGTATTTTTAGTAGAGTCAGGGTTTCGCCATGTTGGTCAGGCTGGTCTTGAACTCCTGACCTCGTGATTCACCCACGTAGACCTCCCAAAGTGCTGGGATTACAAGCATGAGCCACCACGCCTGGCAAATAGTTTTTTGAGACGGAGTCTCACTCTGTCGCCCAGACTGGAGTGTAGTGGCGCGATCTCGGCCCGTTGCAAGCCGCACCTCCCGGGTTCATGCCATTCTCCTGCCTCGGCCTCCCGAGTAGCTGGGACTACTGGCACCCACCACCATGCCCGGCTCATTTTTTTGTATTTTTAGTAGAGACAGGGTTTCACCATGTTAGCCAGGATGCTCTCGATCTCCTGACCTCGTGATCCACTGCGCCCAGTCTACCAACAAGGATTTTAAGAAGCTTCAACAGACTTCAGGTTAGGTCATTAAAAAACAAAAATGAAGGCCGGGTGCAGTGGCTCATGCCTGTAATCCCAGCACTTTGGGAGGCGGAGGCGAGTGGATCACGAGGTCAAGAGATTTAAACCATTCTGGCCAACATGGTGAAACCCCATCTCTACTAAAAATACAAAAATTAGCTGGGCGTGGTGGCACGTGCCTGTAGTCCCAGCTACTCGGGAGACTGAGGCCGGAGAATCGCTTGAACCTGGGAGGCGGAGGTTGCTGTGAGCTGAGATCATAGCATTGCACTCCAGCCTGGGCGACAGAGCAAAAATCCATCTCCAAAAAAATAGTAATAATAATAAATAAAAAATAAAATAAAACAAATAGCAGAAAATTAATGTTAAATGGCATCCTGGTCTCCCAGATACGAATATAAGCCCCTTTGTGCAAAGTCTCACAATAATCCCATAATATAAGAGTTGATATGACTGTCTCTATGCCTGAACCCCTAAGAGAGCTGGCCCAGACAGGTGCAGTGACGTGTTCAATGTCCCTGGCTAGAAATTAGAATAGAATTAAAACTTGATCTAAATCCTAGACCAAGAACATTTTTCAGATCCCATAAAATTCAATTTTTTAGAAGCCCATATTCAAGGATAAATGGCTTTCAAAATTCCAAAGACAGGCCAAGTAAGAGGGCTCACTCCTGTAATCCTAGCACCTTTTAGGAGGCCACAGCAGAAGGATCGCTTCAGGCCAGGAGTCTGAGATCAGCCTAGGCAACACAGTGAGATTCTGTCTCTACAAAAAATTAAAAAATTAGCTAGATGTGGTGGCACACTCCTATGGTCCCAGCTACTCAGGAGGCTAAGGTGAGAGGATCACTTACACCCAGGAGGTTAAGGCTGTATTGACCTGTGTTCGCACCACTGCACTCCACCCTGGGTGACAGAGTGAGACCCTGTCTCAAAAAGGAAAAAAAAAAAAAAGACAGCCACACTACTGAATATTCTTAGCAAAAATGACAACCATAAAATCCAACAATCACTGTTTTCCAGTGGCAGGCACCACATTCAGACAATTGTTTTGTTTAATTTTCAGTTGAAAACAATTTAGTCTACATCAAGAACATAAATGCAAACACTTGCCCCCAAAAGGAGATGGTCACACACTCATTACAGAGAATACAACATACTTCTATGAATGTTTCAAATTCTCTTCAGTGACGATTTAGAATCTCATCTAAGTCACTTCCTCGGTGACAATCTGGGATGTAGCAGACAAATCTCAATAGTGTAATTTCCTTTATTCAATCTGTCATTAACTTGTTTTAAAATATCTATTTATTTATTATTTATTTAGAGACAGGGTCTCACTCTTTCGCCCAGGCTGGAGTGCAGTGGCGTGATCTTGGATCATTTCAGCCTAAACCTCCCGGGCTCAAGTCATCCTCCCACCTCACTCTATAGGGGAGACTACAGGTGAGTGCCACCACGTCCAACTAATTTTCTTTGTATTTTTTGTAGAGGTTGGGTTTTGCCATGTTGGCCAGGCTAGTCTTGATCTCCTAGGCTCAAGTGATCCACCTGTCTTGGCCTCCGGAAGTGCTGGGATTACAGGTGTGAACCACCACACCCGGCCATATCTATCATTAACTTATGCATTCCTTACTGAATGCAAAGGGGGCATAAAGTCACTGATTACATTAAGTTCAGTAGCCTCTGACATAATGAAATAAATTTAAATCCTTCTATACTAATGCTAATAGAGAGCAGCCATCTTTCTTTTCTCTAAAGTTCTGTACCAAGAGATAATAACTCTCAGCCTACTTTACTCCCAGCACATAAATTCAGCAAGGAAAGGATTCGCTCATATTCCTATCAAATCTATCCTATATAGATCAAGGGCTTCTGAGAAGTAAAGAAAAAGTTGACATGCCCTATTCGGTTTGGTAACAAAAATGCTATTTCCTTGCCTTAAGAGTATATGAAAAGTTTTTTAAAAAAAATCAGGAAAGATGTTTTGTGACTCTTCATTCCTGTTGCCCACAGTTCTGGCAGTTGGCATTCCAAAACCATTTTCCCACTGTCAGGTGTCATCACCTGAAGCCCTCTTCAAGCATAGAACATTCTAACATCAATTAAGAAAGACTTCAGGTATTTCCTGGAAATGACAACAGGAAGTTAGAAATTTTTGAATGTTCCTTTAACTGATTCTTCTAAATATTCTAATAAGTCAACTTTAAAGCACAGGTTTTAAAGAAAGGGCTTTTCCTTCTTTCCAGGAAAGGAAAGTAGGGCACTGGCTATCTGGACCTTGTGAAGATTCTTAGTACACTACTTAGCTTCTTGAATTCATGAAAAATTCATTTTGGTTTATAATATACTGATATGGTTTGGATCTGTGTCCCCACACAAATCTCATGTTCAACTGTAATCCCCAACGTTGGAAGTGGGGCCTGGTGGGAGGCGACTGGATCATGGGGGTGCATCCTTCATGAATGGTTTAGCACCACCCCTTTGATGCTGTTCTTGTGATAGAGTTCTCATGAGATCTGGCTAATAGTGTGTGGCACCTCCCCCCATCTCTCTCTCGGTCCTGCTACTGCCATGAGGCTCATGGCACAGGTGGCTCCCCCTCTGCCTTCTGCCACGAGTAAAAGCTCCCTCAAGGCTCCCCGGAAGCAGATGCTGCCATGCTTTCTGTATAGTCCACAGAACTGTGAGCCAATTAAACTTTCTTTTTTTTTTTTTGAGATGCAGTTTCACTCTTGTTGCCCAGGCTGGAGTGCAATGGCGCGATCCCAGCTTCCTGCAACCTCTGCCTCCCGGATTCAAGCGATTCTCCTGCCTCAGCCTCCCAAGTAGCTGGGATTACAGGCATGCACCACCATGCCCAGCTAATTTCTGTATTTTTGGTAGAGATGGGGTTTCTTCATGTTGGTCAGGCTGGTCTCAAACTCCCGACCTCAGGTGATCTGCCCACCTTGGCCTCCCAAAGTGCTGGGATTACAAGCGGAGCAACTGCGCCCAACAAACCTCTTTTCTTTATAAATTATGCAGTCTCAGGTATTTCTTTATAGCAGTGCAAGAATGGGCTGATATATATACCTTTTTCTGTAAAGACAATAACTCTTATTTCTATAACCTGTATAGTTTCTTCATTGAACTTTTACCTATACATATTCATCAGTATTACTTTGTTTTTTTTTTTTTTTTTTTGAGACAGAGTCTCGCTTTGTTGCCCAGGCTGGAGCACAGTGATGTGATGTTGGCTCACTGCAACCTCCGCCTCCCAGGTTCCCAGGTTCAAGCAATTCTTGTGCCTCAGCCTCCTGAGTAGTTGGGTCTATAGACACACACCACCCTGCCTGGCTAAGTTTTGTATTATTGGTAGAAATGGGGTTTCACTATGTTGGCCAGGCTGTTCTTAAACTCCTGACCTTAAGTGATCCACCTTCCTCGGCCTCTCAAAGTGGATTACAGTCATTACTGCACCTGGCCAGTATTTTCACTAGTGTTACAACGACAGTTACTTTCACTTCTAAAAACATATAATCAAATGGCTTTATGGCACACTTATCTGCTTCCTTTCGTTTTTTTTCAGTTTTTTTTTTTTTTAAATATATATATATATTTAGGTCCCCATCATGGATCTTCAAAGTAGAGGAAATACTGGGTCAAAATTTCTATCCTTGAAGACAGACTATATGTTAAAAGAATAATATCATACAGGATTAAGGTGTTTCATAGAACTACTTGCCCATACATTCAATTTACAAAAAGGGAATCATTAAAACCTTAAACCTGAGACAGTTAATACAATCAAATTCAACAAAATGGCACTGCAATTATTTTAAAGGATAGCTATCCAGATAGAACCTAACAAATCAAACTTGTAACAGTCCTTATCATTTACAATAGCTGAAAAAAAATCAATGCTAGGCAAGAGAAGGGGAAGAACAAAAAGAGATATGGCAATAATTTCAGCTATCTTGCGCCTCCAACACCCCACCCCACCCCACCAAAACACACCTCTCACATAATTCCACTTATCTTGGTCCCATTACTAGATTTACATCTCTATTGCTATTTGGTGAAGGAAGTGTAACCAATGGGACCTTCACCAGGCCAGGCACAGGTCCATAAACACTTTCTCAAGTAGCTCTTGAATTGTAAGGGGGCCCACCAAAAGAAAAGGGGACACACTTCTCTAAAAAACTACTTCACTACAACTTTTTAAAAAATGTGGTTCTCTGGCATCCTGTTTTTATTTCTGCCTAGGACTCTAAAAATTTTAAATTAATGCCTCAGAGTTTTGTTTGCTTTAAAAATTAAATTTGTGGCCAGGAGTGGTGGCTCACACCTGTAATCCCAGCCCTTTGGGAGGCCAAGACAGGCGGATCACCTGAGGTTGGGAGTTCAAGACTAGCCTGACCAACATGGAGAAACCCCGTCTCTACTAAAAATACAAAATTAGCCAGGTGTGGTGGCGCATGCCCTGTAATCCCAGCTGCTCAGAAGGCTGAAGCAGGATAATGGCTTGAACCTGAGAGGTGGAGGCTGCAGTGAGCCGAGACTGTGCCACTGCACTCCAGCCTGGGCAACAAGAGTGAAACTCCTTCTCAAAAAAAAAAAAAAAAAAAAATTTAAGATTGAGTCTTGACATCCAAGTTATAACATGACAAATACTCAACACTTTTGACAACCGTGCCTTTATCCCAGTTTTTGGAGTACTTACAAGGAACCAGTTAACTGTCCGTTTTTGCTTCTTTAATCTTCATAACAACAATGAAATATTTATTATTGTTCCTTTTCTACTGATGACAAAACTGAGGAATACAGGGGCCAATGTGTCTCAAGTCTCATTTATTAAGAGGTGGATCTGAGATCTGCACACAGGCAATTGGATCTAGAATCTATGTTCTTTACTGTGAAACTACGTTGCTTCCTGTCTAAACACATGCGTTAAACAAATGCTAAATTATAAGCAGATAATTTCTACTAAAAATACAAAAATTAGTTGGGCGTGGTGGTGGGCGCCTGTAATCCCAGCTACTCGGGAGGCTGAAGCAGGAGAATTGCTTGAACCCCGGAGACGGAGGTTGCAGTCAGTCAAGATCGTACCATTGCACTTCAGCCTGGGCAACAAGAGTGAAACTCTGTCTCAAAAAAAAACAAAAAACAAAAATTCATACACCACATTTCACCACACAAATACCAAAACTAACATTATTTGTCTATTTCTGGCCACTTAACATCCTTTTTTTTTTGAGATGGAGTCTTGCTCTGTTGCCCAGGCTGGAGTGCAGTGGCACGATCTCGGCTCACTGCAAGCTCCGCCTCCCGGGTTCATGCCATTCTCCTGCATCAGCCTCCCAAGTAGCTGGGACTACAGGCGCCCACCACCATGCCCAGCTAATTCTTTTGTATTTTTAGTAAAGACAGGGTTTCACCGTGTTAGCCAGGATGGTCTCGATCTCCTAACCTCGTGATCCACCCGCCTCGGCCTCCCAAAGTGCTGGGATTACAGGCGTGAGCCACCGCGCCCGGCCTCACTTAACATACTTTTATATGTAACTCTTGTTACAGTGTATATGCCTTTTTTCTTTTTTCTGCTTTTCTCAAACACAGTATTTTCCTATTTTTGCAATATTTGTAAAGTTCAATACTTTTTTTTTTTTGGCGATAGAGTCTCCCTCTGTCACCCAGGCTAGAGTGCAGTGGTACCATCTTGGCTCACTGCAACCTCTGTCTCCTGGGTTCGAGTGATTCTCCTGCCTCAGCCTCCTGAGTAGTTGGGCACACGCCATCACACCCAGGAGTGTACAGGCACGTGTCATCACACCTGGCTAATTTTTGTATTTTTAGTAAAGATGGGGTTTTGCCATGTTGGCCAAGCTGGTCTCGAACTCCTAGTCTCAAGTGATCTGCCCACCTCAGCCTCACAAACTGCTGGGATTATAGGCATGAACCACTGTGCCTGGCTAGGGTCAATACTCTCTTAAATGCAAGTGCTAGAACCCATTTATTTTTTCCTCTTCTGTAAGTAACCTCTAATTTTCAGAACTAAATCACACTGTCACAAATGTACTTGCATACAAAGTTTTTTCAGCATTTGGGATTGTTTTCTTAGTATAAATAAATGAAACTAGAATTATTGGGTAAATGGGCATGGATGATTAAGTATCTTAACACATACTGGCAGACTGGGCTCTACAAACCTATGAAGTATAGAGTATTCATTTCAATATACCTCATTAGCATTTTGTCTCCTTTTAAAAATATCTTTGTTAATTAAAAAGGTAAAAAAAGGGAATGTAACATTCATTTATTTATTCTTTGGTTCCCCTGTGTCCACTCATCTATTAGGATCTGAATTTTTTTCTGATTTTTGTACTTCATATTTTAAACATATTAATCCATTACCATATTTGATTTTTCTCTTAAACAACTGATTTCATTTTCACAAAAGTACATCCAGTAAGCTCTTTTATCACCTCTCAGAGTAGAGCGGTGAGATCTGATAAAGATTCTTTTTTTTTTTTGAGACAGAGTCTTGCTGAGTCCCCCAGGCTGGCCAGGCTGGCCAGGCTGGAGTGCAGTGGCATGATCTCGGCTCACTGCAACCTCTGCCTCCCGGGTTCAAGCGATTCTCCTGCCTCAGCCTAAAATACAAAAATTAGCCGGGCATGGTGGCGGATGCCTGTAATCCCAGCTACTAGGGAGGCTGAGGCAGGAGAATCACTTGAACCCGGGAGGCGGAGGTTGCAATGAGCCAAGATTGCAGCACTGCAGTCCAGCCTGGGCGACGAAGTGAGACTCCATCTCAAAAAAATATATATATATATATAGAGAGAGAGAGAGAGAGAAAATTTTAATCCAACTGTGATTTCATCTGGGAATAATGAGAGAGAATTTTAATCCAACTGTGATTTCATCTGGGAATAATGTTCAAGGGTTGTACAATTTCAAATCAACACATAAGACAACTACATCACTCAGTTCATTGATATAGAAACCTAAAGACAAGAGCTGGTAAAATATTTACCAATATTTCGTTCTTCAAGAACCTAATGTCTATGTTCACAGTATAAGCATTTGCCTAAAGGGCTGATCTATTTCCTGTTCTGGAATAGTATCTATCTTTTCCATTCATGAATCTCAAGGTTGGAAGAGATGTTAATTGTGTTTATGCTCTAAAAAAACATTCATGCCAGTGTCCATCTTTTTTTTTTTTTGTGAGATAGCGTCTCACTCTGTTGCCCAGGCTGGAGTGCAGTGGCATGATCTCCGCTCACTGCAAGCTCCGCCTCCTGGGTTCACACCATTCTCCTGCCTCAGCCTCCCGAGTAGCTGGGACTACAGGCACCCACCACCATGCCCGGCTAATTCTTTTGTATTTTTAGTAAAGACAGGGTTTCACCGTGTTAGCCAGGATGGTCTCGATCTCCTGACCTTGTGATCCGCCCACCTCGGCCTCCCAAAGTGCTGGGATTACAGGCATGAGCCACCGCGCCCGGCCCAGTGTCCATCTTCTAACCTATGCTTGAGTAGCACAACTGACAAAGTAGTCACTATACCAACGAACACTTTTGCTTGAAAAATCCAACTCATTTTCAGTTCTCAAGGTCCATTTCAGAATAAGAAGAATTACTATCTCTTCTTAAAAGAAAAATAATCTTTTCAAAAATAAGTAACTCTAAAAAGACAAAAGACACGGTTGCGTTATCTTGATATCAAATACCCATTGTTACCTTTTGAAATAGTTAGTGCTGGAGACCACTGTGATCGTAGAATATCAAGACAAATGCTGCCATTACTGTTAATATTTGGATGATAAATTCTTGTCGTAAATGCAACCTACAGAAAGAAAGGAAATTTTCTATAAACTAGTTTATTAGTATTATAGAAAGCACATTAAAAACTGCCACATTCCAATTAATTACCTTAGGTGGTTTGAAGGGGTAATCTGTTGGGAAATGAATTGTCAAGAAAAATACTCCACCCTGATAGGGACTGTCATTCTGTTGATAAAAGAAAAGTGGGATTAAAATGAGTAAATTACATAAACTGTTTATTCTGAATTTAATCTGAATACTTACTGGCCCCATTATTGTAGCTTGCCAATGGAACACTGAAAAATAACAAGAAAAAAGTCACCATGTAACAATATCTACATTGTATCTGTGCCATAGTAACATATCATTCCCCTTCTAATCCAAATTCATTTATAAATAATATGAGTATGAGCAAGATGAGGAACATAAAATAACAGTCTAAAGAAACAAGAAAAATGACTAGAATGGCCTAGAACACTGATAAGGCGCTCAATGAAAAATATTTGGAGCCAGGTGTGGTGGCTCACACCTGTAATCCCAACACTTTGAGAGGCTTTGAGAAGTGGAGGCTGCAATAAGCCATGACTGCGCCACTGCGAGACTCTCTCAAAAACAAAACAAAAAAAAGTATTTGGGCTAAAACTTCTTGAAACTTCATGTCAGAGAAACAAACTTATTGACAAGGCTCATAGTTCTACTTTTAAATAGCTATTTCTTTACCTCATGGGGTAAATAATTTCTTCAAAACAATTATATATAATATACTTTTTTTTTTTTTTTTGAGACAGAGTCTCACTCTATCGCCCAGGCTGGAATGCAGTGGCACCAATTTCGGCTCATGCAACCTCCGCCTCCCAGGTTCAAGCAATTCTTCTGCCTCAGCCTCCCAAGTAGCTGGGACTACAGACAAGTGCCACCACACCTGGCTAATTTTTGTAGTTTTAGTAGAAACAAGGTTTTGCCACATTTGGCCAGGTCTCAAACTCCTGACCTCAGATGATCCACCCACCTCGGCCTCCCAAAGCTGGGATTACGGGCATGACTTCTTTTATAATGCTGGTATATGGGGGACAAAACAGTAAAGTCAAGGTAGATAATACTCAAATTAAGAAAGACTGGTTTTAACAATGAGAACAAATTTCTAAAAACTCTTGCGTAGGTCTGTACATTACTGGTCCTCATTAAAGAAACAAAAGCATCATCTCTTCTAACGTAGAGGTTAAGTTAAAGAGGAAAAAAGAGAAAAAAAGGAGTGAAATTTAAAAAGAAAATATTAGCTAAAAGCCCAAGGTTGATTACAAGCTCTAGGGATACTTCCAATAAGTTATAAACTTGTTCAATAAATAAATATCTTCCAAATGCAGAAAATGGTGCTTGTTCCATGTTCTCATGTTACTAAGTGCAGTATGAGAGATCAAAAGCCAGAGTTTTTATTTATAAGCAAGCTACTACTTAGTATACTTAACATTCATACTATGATCTGAGCAACCTAAGGGAAGTTGTCACTGGGGTTATATTTGAACAACCCAAACCAGATAACTCTTGTCACAAGGTAGAAGAAACATGAAGACTAAGAAGCCATATAAAAATCCACCAGAATGTCAGTCCAAATCCTAAAGTTCCTTCCAACCTCCTTAATATGAAACTAATCCCTATGGTTGGTTTGTTGCTCACTGGGACTTGAACCTAAAAATAGCAGCAGCTCGTTGATTAGGAGTTAAAGGTAAAGGACAGGAATTGCTGAGGCTCCCTTCCTTAGATGAGCCCTCCCTAGTACTTAGAAACACTTATATTACTCTCTGCCGACCATTTAATGGACTGTGTAAGCCAAGGACAAAGCCATTCTGGGCCACTAAAACTGGACCTAGTATCTTCAAGGGAAGTCCTATAAAAAGCCCCTTATATGCTGTTTAAAGACACAAAAGCAGGCACCTGTAATCCCAGCTACTCAGGATGCTGAGTTGGGAGGATGATTTGAGCCCAGGAGTTCAAGTCCAGCCCAGGCAACATAGCAAGACCCCGTTTCCGAAAAAATAAAAATAAAAACAAGACTAAAACACACACACACACATGCTCACACGCATGCATGCACACACACACATGAATCTCACTCTATTTTTAATCACAAATATACTTACAATTTGAGTAAATAAAACATTGATAACTAGAATTAACCCCCAATAACAAGGCTAAAAACACTATTAGACAAAAGAATGACCAACTGGCCAAGGGACCTGTTCTTCTACTTAATTCTTTTATGTTATTTAAATTTGTGGTTATAATGGAAGAGTATTAATTGTACCTGCATTCCCACGCAAAGCTGTAAGAGTTGGGTAAGATAAGAAGAAAGCACTGCTTTTAAGTGTTCTCAGGCACTGCCTGCCACAGCGGCGCCCTCATCTCTAATGTCTGCGCTACCTCTAGCTTGCTGAGAAGGGGGATTAACAAGGAGGTATCTAGATCATGACTAGTAGAAGGTACATTATCAGCAAATTGGCAAAGTAGTAAAGCACCCAGGAAGCAACTGGCTACAGAAGTTACTCACAAGAGTGTACCTTTTACCGGAAGGGTAAAGAAACCTCACTGTTACAGGTCTGGTACTGTGGTACTCTGTGAAAATAGATCTCATCAGAAGTCCACTGAACTTCTGATTAGCAAACTTCCTTTCCAGCATCTGATACAAGAAGTTGCTGGGGACTTCAAAACAAATCTACACTTCCAGCTTTTGGTACTTTGCAGGAGGCAAGTGAGGCCTATCTGATGGGCCTTTATGAAGACACCAACTTATGTGCTACTCATGCCAAATATGTAACAAGTATGCCAAAAGACATCCAGCTAGCATGCCAATTACATGGAGACTGTGCTTAAGATTGGGAAACATTTCATTCTCAAAAAAAAAAAAAAAAAAAAAAAAAACAATTATTTTTCTTCTTTCTGTTATTGGTAGTTCTCTGTTAGATGTATTTTTCCCCCATGGGGTCAAAAGGTAACTATGTATATAACTGCGAGTGGAAAAATAGGGGACAGAAATCAGGTATTGGCAGTTTTTCCATTTTAACTTGTGTGTGAATTTCTAATATAAAATTGAGGATGTAAAGCATTAATTCAACTCGAACTATTTCGGTGAACAAGTTTCAGCAGTTCACCTTTATAACAATTATAAACAGACCTGTAAATTTTTTCTGGACAATGCTAGCATTTGGATTTTATTTTTGTCACTAGTTATATCATTAGTTTAATATAAAAGAGAGACATGGAAATTATTTACATGATGAAAGATTTCAGAACTTAAGTGAAATGGGCAGTTTCACACTGATGTCATTTCAATAGTGATTTATTTCAGTCTACACTTTCCAAGAATGTGGCCATCTCTTAAAAAAATAAAACTTGTCTCTGGGTGCGGTGGCTCACGCCTGTAATCCTAGCACTTTGGGAGGCCAAGGCAGGTGGATCGCCTGAGGTCAGGAGTTCGAGATCAGCCTGACCAACATGGCGAAACCCCATCTCTACTGAAAATACAAAAAATTACCTGGGCATGGTGGCAGGTGCCTGTAATCCCAGCTACTCGGGAGGCTGAGGAAGGAGAATAGCTTGAACCCAGGAGGCGGAGGTTGCAGTGAGCCGAGATCGTGCCACTGCACTCCAGCCTGGGCAACAGTGCGAGACTCCATCTTAAAAAAAAAAAAAAGAAAAAGAAAAGAAAAGAAAGCACTTTTAAAAAAAGAAAGCAAGCACTTAATAAAGTATTATTTTATTATTATTATTTTTTTAAATACAGATGGGCGGCTGGGTGCGATAGCTCATACCTATAATCCCAGCACTTTGGGAGGCCGAGGCAGGTGGATCTCCTGAGGTTAGGAATTCGAGACCAGCCTGACTAACATGGAGAAACCCCGTCTCTACTAAAAGTACAAAATTAGCCAAGCATGGTGGCGCATTGCCTATAATCCCAGCTACTTGGAAGGCTGAGGCAGAAGAATCGCTTGAACCTGGGAGACTGAGGTTGCGGTGAGCCAAGATTGCGCCATTGCACTCCAGCCTGGGCAACAAGAGCGAAACTTCATCTCATTAAAAAAAAAAAAAAAAAAAAGAGAGAGATGAGGTCTCGCTATGTTGTCCAGGATGGTCTTGAACTCCTGGGCTCAAGCAATTCACCCACCTCAGCCTCCCAAAGTGCTAGGATTATAGGTGTGGGTCACCATACCCAGTCAAAATATAAAAATATTGAGACAATTTTAAAAATTAAATTTTCGCCGGGCGCGGTGGCTCAAGCCTGTAATCCCAGCACTTTGGGAGGCCGAGACGGGCGGATCACGAGGTCAGGAGATCGAGACCATCCTGGCGAACACGGTGAAACCCCGTCTCTACTAAAAAAAAAAATACAAAAAACTAGCCGGGCGAGGTGGCGGGCGCCTGTAGTCCCAGCTACACAGGAGGCTGAGGCAGGAGAATGGCGTAAACCCGGGAGGCGGAGCTTGCAGTGAGCTGAGATCCGGCCACTGCGCTCCAGCCCCGGCGACAGAGCGAGACTCCGTCTCAAAAAATAAAAAAAAAAATAAAAAAATAAAAATTAAATTTTCCATTAACCATTTAAGTACTAATTCTTTCCTCCTAGTCTTTTCAAGATCAATCTTCTTCTTTTCTTGCTAATACTACTACCAGACTTAAGAAGTTATTAGAAAAATTTAAATCAGAATTTTTTTTTTTTGAGATGGAGTCTTGATCTGTTGCCTGGACTGGAGTGCAGTGGCTCGATCTCGGCTCACTGCAACCTCCACCTCCCAGGTTCAAGCAATTCTCCTGCCTTAGCCCCCTGAGTAGCTGGGATTACAGGTGCGTGCCACCACATCTGACTAATTTTGCTGTATTTTTAGTAGAGACGGGGTTTCACCACGTTGGTCAGGCTGGTCTCGAACTCCTGACCTCAGGTGATCCACCCGCCTTGGCCTCCCAAAGTGCTGGGATTATAGTCATAAGCCACCAGGACCGGCCTTAAATCAGAAATTTTTAGCTAAATATTTCCTTTTTTGTGATTCCCTGTTCTTCCTACTAACACAAACAAAGCACAAATAGACTGTGGGATCAAAATCTACTAACAATTGGACAACGCAGAATCCCCAACAGGGTTGAAGCAGAAATGCCAACAAGCTGCTAATGTTTATAATTATGGAAAGAATACCCTTCTTCTTCTTTTTTTTTTTTTTTAAATGGAGAAAGGGTCTTGCCATGTTGCCCAGGCTGGTCTCAAACTCCTGGGCTCGAGCGATCTGCCTGCCTTGGCCTCTCAAACTGTTGG